AACCGTGTGAGGGGTGCGCCAAAATGGCGCGGGGCCGCCATGCGAACCCTGACACTGGGGCCTTCGGTGATCTCCCGATGGGGCCAATATCCTCGTGAGGGGTGTGCCGAAACGCTGAAGAGAGGGGGGGGGAGAAGGAGCGGGAGCGGCGGGAACGCGGGGCACCGTCTCTTCAAAACGAGGACCCAACACCACAGGATGGTTGGGAAAAGCTCAGAAATCCGCGCGGCCTTCTCGGATCGGCGTTGGGGCTCCCCTGCGGCGCCTCCGGCGCCGCCCAGCGCTGATCCGAGAAATCCACGCGGAGCGGACCTCCGAGTTCTATGTTTATGTCATTGTTCGCTCCCTTACCTGGGGGAGAGGGGGAGGGGGGGAAGCTTCCGAGGAGGAGGCTGCTTCTCAGAAGGCGCGGGCCTTACACCCACAGACATGGCCCGCGCCTTCCAGGGATCAGCCTCCTTCCTAGATGCCCTCGCCCCTCCCCTTGCCCCCTTTGCGCGTGGCCGACTCGCCGCGTGTGACGACCACGAGAATCGAGATCAGAGTGCGCGATCGACGCACTCCGACTCACGCCCAACGTTCCCAACAAACCTGGCCTCTGCGAGCCAGCGGGGTTGCTACCCGCCCCCTGGCCCCCCTCTCCTCCGCCAGAAAGGTCTCTCGCGGAGGCCTCGCTGCCGGCCCTGCCTCTCGATGGGTGTACTGGGCATCGGCCTAGATATCAAAATGGACAGGACCAGGACGTATGCAGCATGCTCGATGTTCGAGGCATGTCTGCTATTGGCCGTTATGCTACCTCTTCCCTTGACATGACTTCCGGGGGGCGGGACAAACATCAGTCCGTAGTGCGCCATGCCCAACCTGCCCTCCTACCTCGACAATTTTGCGATTAGAAACGGAAACTTGCGCACACCTGTCATTAACATATTCGGTACATGGTACAAGATATCCCCTCCATCAGAGACAACCCCGTGGGCGAGTACATGTGGCTCCAGCCTGATATGCAGCAGCATATGCTCCCACGCGTGGCAGTTCCAGACGCGTGCTAATGAAATTCTGGCTCGCGGCGGTGGACGACGACAAACGTCAGATCAAGCTGCGAGACGGAGGCTGGACATCCCATCGCGGCCCATCCCCTCCAGTTTCGCTGTCATGGCAAGCGTGGGTCGTCATCGTTCCGAGGGGGCCGAGCACAAGGCTGGATTGGAGAGGCTGTTTCCCCCGGGAAGACGAGCCCCCCCCATCGTGTGTCCAGAGTCTGTTTTTTTCCATTGGTGGGCTCGCACTCTGGTTGCATCGAGGAGGCGGTCAAAATCAATACAATGCCACGCAGCACCTTACAGCAGAGCGCGTCTAGGCACGAACGACGCGAAGCCTGCGCGAGGCCCCACCAGGTCGGCGCCTCCCTCCACCCCCCCGTGTCCTCCTGCTGGTGCAGGCCGCTGCTGCTCCTCAGGGAGAGCTGGCCGCTGCCGCCCCTGGCCCTGGCCACCGCGCCATTCCGCCGAGAGCGAACGCAGGCACGGAGCAGAACGAGGAGAAGCTCCTCCTCTCCTACTTCTCCTCCTCCTCCTCCTCCTCCTCCTCCTCCTCGTCTGCTCCTGCTCCTCCTCCCCTCCGAGGCGGCAGGGCAGATCGTGCGCGCTCAATCAACACCTACAAACCAAACTGCCGAGGCGCTCGACGCGCCCTGGGACAGCCAAAACGTGTGATCTGACAGCCTCGGGCCCGCGGCGAAGGGGCTCATGTTCTTGCCCGACGCGTTGTTTGTGAAGTAGGCCGGCAGGCAGTGTCCCACGAGGGAGGCCATCAATTCTCGCGGCCAACGCCGCAAACGCCAATGGCCCCCTACTGTGAATATAGGGCGGGGCTGCATGCGGTTACCACGGCGCGGGTGGCCAGCAACTGCCGTAGCCGAAGGCCACAGCCGCGGCCGTCAGCGAGCCAACTCCTACGCCGTAGCCAAGCAGACGGAAGACAACGTCGCCACGGCGCGGGTGGCCATCAGCTGCCGTAGCCAGGATACAGCCTGCACACGCTGCCCCAGAGGTGGCGCGGAGACGGTGTTGACGCTCCGCTCAAGCGAGCTCAGGGCGCGCTCGGGAGACCTGCACACGGCGATGATAGACTGCAAGGCGCTGTTCGTCATCAGGAGAGGCGCATGCGCGCGCACTGAAACATCTTACAGAGCCGGCGGATCAAACAAAACGCACATGTTGGGGCGGCTCCAGGCAGCCGCATCCTTATGGGCGCCGCGCCCCACGGCTGTGCTGGACTTGTGGGTGACTATCCTGCCTGCTACTAGCGGACCAGCAGCGTTGAGGAGTCTCGCTCGCGCACCATTCCCACGCCCCTTACTCTTTCATTATTTCTTTCTTTTTTTTTTCCTCTCTCTCTCTCTCTCTCTCCCTCTATCCCGCGCTCTGCCCGGTACTGCTGTCCCTGCGCAAGCGTGGCGCAGGCCCAGCGCAGCCTCCCCGCACTGGCTCGTCTGGCTGTGCCGCAGGAGACCGGCCTGTCTGATCAAGGGCGCGAAACACCTGCGAGATGGAGGCGATACGACCCGAACTCCAGCCCATGTGGGATTGTCCTCTATGAGGGTAGGCGCATGGGACACGCAGCCCCGTACGCCGCTTCACTTATCGTGTTGGTGAGACTCTTCTGGCCGTGCAGCTGAAGGTCAGAACAAAACTGTGCCTGCACTCTGGCCTGGGCTACCTCCGTCGTTGCCGACGTTCCCCCTTCGCTGCCACCGCTCCCACTCACTGGCACCCATGCCGATACCCTTCTCTGGCGTCCCCTTCAGAGGCGATGGCTGAATGGGGGGGCATGCTCGACCGCCTGCCCTCTCCGAGAGGGGCGGGGCCAGCGAGAAAAAAATGGTACCGGGGCCTGCGCGCCGACGCGAGCCGACTACAGACGCGCTCTCCTCCCCCATCCCTTTTCCTCATCGCGTCCTCCTCCTCCACCTCCTACGAGTAGATACGAAGTGCCTAGTGCAAATCGTTCGTTTGGGCATGATACCTACGACGGTGACAGCTGCCAGCTTCCCAGCCGGTGGGAAGTGAATTCCGCAATGCGACACTGCCTACCTATGTGTCCTACAGTGCACCCTGGCGCGCCTAGCGCGCGCCATGGTGCCCGAGATGCCCTGCGCTGCTCTGCCAATAGACGAGCGCGTTCCACTCCTCGCAAAGTGACTACTCGCAAATGGCCTGGATCCGCTGGGGGGATCTACGAGAAATTACGTCGAATCAGGCATGTGTTTTTCGAGCGGTTGTAAGTACAGGGCAGTTTTTCTGATACACAGGATTAAAACAAAAACATTGGATTTTTAATACATGGTTAATGAAATCATGTATGCATGAAGTCATCCTTGTTTTTAATACTAGATCCCTGCATTTTTAAGACATGATCCGCACGCGGAGCATGCATCAGAAACGGCACTGTAGGCACTTTGCGAGTAGTGGAACACGCTCGGTGAGCCAAGAGCGCGAGCGAGCGCGCCCTGGTCGTCTGGCGAGGGGAGGGGGCTTGCCCCGCGGGAGCTGAGCCAGCAGTGCATCCAGCCTGGGGTTACGTCGGGTTTGTCCCTCTACACGGGGGGAATTCCAAAATAGTTTAAAAAATTGTCTGGGGACCACGTCTTGATCATTCTTTGACTATTTGGGCACATTTTCGGGGTATTGTTGACGATTTCTCGCCCACAACCCCCCCTGTAGGAGGGCCGGCCCGACCTAAGCCTGGGGGGCGACCGCGCAGAGCGTGCTCCCGCGCGCCCGCCCCGGGCGCCTCGCCGCGCGCCGACGCCCCCCTTCGGCCCCGCCGGGCGCGCGCTGGCGGGCGCGCCGGCCACGCCGAGCCGCGCGGCGCTGCGGCAGGTCGCGACCGAGGGCGGGCGCGGCGGCCGTGCAGGTGGCTCGAGCTGCCGGCGCGTCGGAGGCGCCGCGCCGGGGTGGCCCCCGGTCACCTCTGCCCGAGACTTATGTTCTCCTCGTCTTCAGAGACTTAGGAAACCAGTGAAATCCACTAAGTAGGTTAAACATAGATTTAGGGCAGAAATTCAGCAAATCTTGAAAATAGGCCAAAAATGCACTCTGCCCGAGACCCCCCTCTTCTCGTGTCGCCCCTCTGCCTGTCGTCCCTCCTCCCTCACTGCCAGGGCATCCCTCTTCGCTGGGAGAAGATTATATCCCGGCAAGGCAACCTGAACAGCGATGTGTAGGAGCATCTCTGGAAGCATTCCCCTTAAGATTCGGATGAGAATCCAGTTGTAGAATTCTGCTGTTATCACAGTCGCAGTCGTTCGCGATGAGAGTCGCAGTGGCAACGGCAGTCGCAGTCACAGCCTCAGCCTCAGCCTGCCTCAGCCTCAGCCTGCATCAGCCTCAGCCTCAGCCTGCCTTAGCCTCAGCCTCAGCCTGCTTCAGCCTCGGCATCAGTCTGGCTTCAGCCTCGGCCTCAGCCTCAGCCTGCCTCAGCCTCACCATCATCAGCCTCAGCCTCAGCCTCAGCCTGCCCCAGCATCAGCCTGCCTCAGCCTCAGCCTCAGCCTGCCTCTGCCTCAGCCTCGGCCTGCTTCAGCCTCAGCCTCAGTCTGCCGTCGGCCTCGGCCTCGGCCTCAGCCTGCCTCAGCCTCAGCCTGCATCAGCCTCAGCCTCAGCCTCAGCCTCAGCCTCAGCCTCAGCCTCAGCCTCAGCCTGCCTCAGCATCAGCCTGCCTCAGCCTCAGCCTCAGCCTGCCTCAGCCTCAGCCTCAGCCTGCTTCAGCCTCAGCCTCAGTGTGCCTTCAGCCTCGGCCTCAGCCTCCAGCCTGCCTCAGCCTCAGCCTCAGCAGCCTCAGAGCCTCGGCCTCAGCCTCAGCCTGCGTCAGCATCAGCCTGCCTCAGCCTCAAGCCTCAGCCTCAGCCTGCCTCAGCGTCAGCCTGCCTCAGCCTCAGCCTCAGCCTGCCTCAGCCTCAGCCTCAGCCTGCTTCAGCCTCAGCCTCAGCCTCTGCCTTCAGCCTCGGCCTCAGCCTCAGCCTGCCTCAGCCTCAGCCTGCCTCAGCCTCAGCCTCAGCCTCAGCATCAGCCTGCCTCAGCCTCAGCCTCAGCCTGCCTCAGCAGCCTCACCTCAGCCTCAGCCTGCCTCAGCCTCAGCCTCAGCCTGCCTCAGCCTCAGCCTCAGCCTCAGCCTCAGCCTCAGCCTCAGCCTCGGCCTCAGCCTCAGCCTGCCTCAGCCTCAGCCTGCAGCCTCAGCATCTCCCTTCAGCCTCGGCCTCAGCCTCAGCCTGCCTCAGCCTCAGCCTGCATCAGCCTCAGCCTCAGCCTCAGCCTGCCTCAGCATCAGCCTGCCTCAGCCTCAGCCTCAGCCTGCCTCAGCCTCAGCCTCAGCCTGCTTCAGCCTCAGCCTCAGTCTGCCTTCAGCCTCGGCCTCAGCCTCAGCCTGCCTCAGCCTCAGCCTGCATCAGCCTCAGCCTCAGCCTCAGCCTGCCTCAGCATCAGCCTGCCTCAGCCTCAGCCTCAGCCTGCCTCAGCCTCAGCCTCAGCCTGCCTTCAGCCTCAGCCTCAGTCTGCCTTCAGCCTCGGCCTCAGCCTCAGCCTGCCTCAGCCTCAGCCTCAGCCTTCAGCCTCAGCCTCAGTCTGCCTTCAGCCTCGGCCTCAGCCTCAGCCTGCCTCAGCCTCAGCCTGCATCAGCCTCAGCCTCAGCCTCAGCCTGCCTCAGCATCAGCCTGCATCAGCCTCAGCCTCAGCCTGCCTCAGCCTCAGCCTCAGCCTGCTTCAGCCTCAGCCTCAGTCTGCCTTCAGCCTCGGCCTCAGCCTCAGCCTGCCTCAGCCTCAGCCTGCATCAGCCTCAGCCTCAGCCTCAGCCTGCCTCAGCATCAGCCTGCTCAGCCTCAGCCTCAGCCTGCCTCAGCCTCAGCCTCAGTCTGCTTCAGCCTCGGCCTCAGCCTCAGCCTGCCTCAGCCTCAGCCTGTCTCAGCCTCAGCATCAGCCTGCCTCAGCATTCAACATGTGGCCCGGGAATGGAGTTCTGGGAACTCGAAGAACACGAAGTGGCCTACAGTTGGCTCCGGGCATTCAAAATCATGCCCAGGAGCGGAGGTCTGGGAACTCGAAGACCACGAAGTGGCCTACAGTTGGCCCCGGGCATTCAACATGTGGCCCGGGAATGGAGTTCTGGGAACTCGAAGACCACGAAGTGGCCTACGGTTGGCTCCGGGCATTCAAAATGGTGCCCGGGAATGGAGTTCTGGGAACTCGAAGACCACGAAGTGGCCTACGGTTGGCTCCGGGCATTCAGAATGTGGCCCGGGAATGGTGTTCTGGGACCTCGAAGACCACGAAGTGTGTAACTGTTTGCTTAAAACGACTTCCGCGGCTTCTCCCTGGCACCCGCCCAGACCCCCTGGGGAGTCAAGATGCTCTCTTTTGACATCATTATCCCGGCAAAGCAACCTGACAGCGATGTGTAGAAGCATATCTGGAAGCATTCCCCTTCAGATTCAGATGAGAATCCAGTTGTAGAATTCTGCTGCTCTCGCAGTCGCACTCGCATTCGCGATGACAGTCGCAGTGGCAACGGCAGTCGCAGTCACAGCCTCGGCCTCAGCCTGCATCAGCCTCAGCCTCAGCCTGCCTCAGCCTCAGCCTCAGCCTGCCTCAGCCTCAGCCTCAGTCTGCCTTCAGCCTCGGCCTCAGCCTCAGCCTGCCTCAGCCTCAGCCTGCATGAGCCTCAGCCTCAGCCTCAGCCTGCCTCAGCATCAGCCTGCCTCAGCCTCAGCCTCAGCCTTCCCTCAGCCTCAGCCTCAGCCTCAGCCTTGCTTCAGCCTCAGCCTCAGTCTGCCTTCAGCCTCGGCCTCAGCCTCAGCCTCAGCCTCAGCCTGCATCAGCCTCAGCCTCAGCCTCAGCCTGCCTCAGCATCAGCCTGCCTCAGCCTCAGCCTCAGCCTGCCTCAGCCTCAGCCTCAGCCTGCTTCAGCCTCAGCCTCAGTCTGCCTTCAGCCTCGGCCTCAGCCTGCATCAGCCTCAGCCTGCATCAGCCTCAGCCTCAGCCTCAGCCTGCCTCAGCCTCAGCCTGCAGCCTCAGCCTCAGCCTCAGCCTGCCGCCGCATCAGCATGCCTTAGCCTCAGCCTCAGCCTGCCTCAGCCTCAGCCTCAGCATGCTTCAGTCTCAGCCTCAGCCTGCCTCAGCCTCAGCATCAGCCTGCCTCAGCCTCAGCCTCAGCCTGCTTTAGCCTCAGCCTCAGCCTCGGCCTCAGCCTCGGCCTCAGCCTCAGCCTGCCTCAGCCTCAGCCTGCATCAGCCTCAGCCTCAGCCTCAGCAGCCTGCATCAGCATTCAACATGTGGCCCAGGAATGGAGTTCTGGGAACTCGAAGAGCACGAAGTGGCCTACAGTTGGCTCCGGGCATTCAAAATCATGCCCAGGAGCGGAGTTCTGGGAACTCGAAGACCACGAAGTGGCCTATAGTTGGCCCCGGGCATTCAAAATGTGGCCTGGGAATTGGGTTCTGGGAATTCGAAGACCACGAAGTGGCCTACGGTTGGCTCCGGGCATTCAAAATGTGGCCCGGGAATGGAGTTCTGGGAACTCGAAGACCACGAAGTGGCCTACGGTTGGCTCCGGGCATTCAGAATGTGGCCCGGGAGTGGAGTTCTGAGACCTCGAAGACCACGAAGTGTGTAACTGTTTGCTTAAAACGACTTCCGCGGCTTCTCCCCGGCACCCGCCCAGACCCCCCTGGGGAGTCAAGATGCTCTCTACTGACATTACCAGAAACCTATCAGTCTTCGCTGTTAGGTAACTAGAAACCTATCAGTCTTCGCTATTCGGTAAAAAACTTATGACTCTCGACGCTGGTGGCCACCAAGGCCGGTGACGATCTTGGCAGCCAGGTGCCGAGCATGACAGAGCACACGGCAGTAAGCAATAGCGAGCCGACCTAAAAAGTCACGAGAGACGCCTGGCCGCTTCCAAAGCGCCAAGCTATCTACCATGGGCTGCCGATCGGCGGTCGGATTCGAATCGCTGTCCAACGAGAGCTTCACGCGCATGCGCGCCCAAGCAGAGCCTCGGGGCAAATTCAAAAGGGTATGGCGTGCTGGATACTGACAAGGCCTATCTCTCCCCCTCATCCTTCCTTGTTCCTACGTGCACCTCCTCCGCATGCGTGTTTCCTCCAGACATTCGAACCGCATGTGGCGCACGGAGCGCCCATTTACGGTGCAGACGGCCAGATGAGAGCCCGACTGCTCAAGGCAGGCTAGCAATGATCGAGGCATCGTCATAAAAGCCTGACTGGCATCGAGTCATAGGCCGCTCCGAAAAGACAGAGGCTCTCTGGCCCACCTCTGGACATCATCACCCCTCATCATCATCATCATCATCATCATCATCATCATCATCATCATCATCATCATCATCATCATCGTCATCATCATCATCATCATCATCAGCAGCAGCAGCATCATCATTATCAACATCATCACCATCGTCATCATCCTCATCATCATCATCAGCATCATCATCATCACACTGAGCATCATGATCATCATCAGCATCATCACCCTCGTCCTTCTCATCATCATCGTCATCGTCATCGCCTTCGTCATCTCCATCATCGTTCATATCATCATCCTCATCGTCCTCATCCTCCTCATCATAATCAGCATCATCATTGTCATCATCAACGTCATCATCATCAACATCATCCTCGTCGTGATCATCATCATCGCCATCATCAGCAGAATCAGCATCACCGTCGTCGTCATCATCAGCATCATCAGCATGGCAATCAGCATCATAATCACCATCATCGTCTTCGTCATCGTCACCGCCTTCGTCATTACCATCACCATCACCATGATCATGATCATGATCACCATCATCATCATCAGCATCATCATCATCATCAGCATCAGCATCAGCACCAGCATCAGCAGCATCAGCATCAGCATCAGCACCAGCACCAACATCATCATCATCATCATCATCATCAGCATCAGCATCAGCATCAGCATCAGCATCAGCATCAGCATCAGCATCAGCATCAGCACCAGCACCAGCATCAGCATCAGCATCAGCATCAGCATCAGCATCAGCATCAGCATCATCATCATCATCATCATCATCATCATCATCATCATCATCATCATCATCATCATCATCATCATCATCATCATCACCATCCCCCGAACCCTTTGGGTCATCGGCGTGTGAGATGCTTCCCCCTCCCCCCCCCTGGGGCCCGTTCGGGTCCACTTGGAGGCCGGCCCCAGCTGAACGCGCCACGGGCCTCACGACGGGCCATGAGGGCCCCAAGAGGCCCACAAGATGGTCCAACAGGGCCCCGAGTCGCCGACGGATCGCTCCAAGACGCCCAAGATAGCCCCCAGACGGCCCAAGAGGACCCTTGGACGCCTCAAGAGGCCCCCAAGCGGCGTCCCAAGAAGGCCCCCAGAAGCAAAAATCGTCCCATTCCCTCCGGGGAACGTATGATTTTACCACATTCGCCTCTGGGGCTTTCACAACGCCCAAGACAGCCCAAGAGGCCTCCAAGATCGCCCCAAGACGGCCCAAGAAGCCCGCAAGAAAGCTCCAAGACGGCCCAAGAGGGCCCCAAGACGGCCCAAGAGGTTCCCAAGACGGCTCCAGGAGGAGGCCCAGGCGGGGGACCCGAACGGAAATTTCGAGCCCTCGGCCCCGAGAAGCCTCCAGGAGGCCCCAGGAGGCCCCCAAAAAGCCCCCAAGAGGCTCCAAGAGGCTCCCCAGAGGCCCAAAAGAGGCCCCAAGAGGCCCCGAAACGGCCTCCAAAAGGCTTCAAAAGTGCTGCCAGGAGGCCCCCGAGAGACCTACCAGGAGCCCCCCAAGGGGTCGGCGGTGCGGCGTAAGCCCAAGAATCATCGTAATCATAATGATACCAAAGAAAAACCCAATCAGGGCTATAGGGCTAGGGGGCTATAGGGCTATCGAGCTATAGAGCTATAGGGATATAGAGCTGTAGGGCTATAGGGCTATTGGGCTATAGGGCTATAAGGCTATAGGGCTAAAAAGCACCCCCGGGCACGCCCGGGCACGCCCGGGCACCCCGCGGGCACCCGGGCACCCCTGGGCACCCGGGCGTGCGGCGAAAACCGGCGGCAAACCTAACCTAACCATATGAATCCGCTAGGACCCCTACACAGGCAAGCTCTGATTGGGGAATCATAATCATAATCATAACCATAATCAGACTCATGATCACAATCATAATCATAATCACGATCATGTTCAGCATCGTCATCAGCATCAGCATCAGCATCACCATCATCATCATCATCATCATCATCATCATCATCATCATCATCATCATCATCATCATCACCATCATCACCATCATCACCATCATCACCATCATCACCATCATCATCAGCATCATCAGCATCATCATTTCCTGCTCATTCTCATCCTTCTCCCATCCTCCACGACGGGCGAGTGGCGGCTTGAGCGCTGCCCTCACCACGAGGGAGCGAAGGCGGCGAGCACCACGTCTGCCTGGTCGCTGGCCTCCAGGACGCAACAGCACTCTCCGGAGCCCACGCCCCAGACCCGCACCCGGCCGTCCCTGGACGCGGTGACCACCGCCTGGCCGTCCGGAGAGAACTTTGTGGAGTCCACCCCGCTCGGGCAGGTCGACAGTGTGCGCAGGCACCTCCCCGAGTCCGTGGCCCAGATCCGAGCTGCGCCGTTCGTGGTGGCGGTGACAACCGCCCGGCCGTCTGGCGAGAACTGGGCGGACGTCGCGTTGGACTTCGTGTCCGCGCCAGACGCCCACAGCGTGCGCAGGCACGAGCCCGAGCTCGTGCTCCAGATCTTCGCCGTACCGTCCCCAGAGGCGGTGACCACAGACTGGCCGCTCGGGGAGAACGCGATGGACTTCACGAAGCTGCTGTGTCCGCGCAGCGTCAACAAGCACTGCCCCGAGCTGACATCCCAAAGCCTCGCCGTGTTGTCGCTGGACGCCGTCGCAAGCACGTGGCCGTCTGGAGAAAACGCTGGTGAGCTCACGGAGCTCTGGTGGCCCAGTAACGTTCGCAAACACTGGGCCGAACTGGTACAAAATATTCTTGCCGTCCCGTCGGCGGAGGTGGCGGCGATCGACTGTCCGTCTGGGGAGAACACGGCGGAATTCATACCCTTATCGGGGCCCTGGAACGTGCAATGGCACTCGCCTGTGCTGGCACTCCAAATCTTCACCGTGGTGTCCCCGGAAGCTGTGACCACCGCCTGCCCATCCGGAGAGAAAGCGACGGAGAACACACAGCCAGTGTGGCCCCGCAGCGTTGCTAGGCACTCGCCAGACGTCACGCCCCACACCTTCACCGTCGCGTCGAGGGAGGCGGTGGCCACGACGAGGCCGTCCGGAGAGAACGCAGACGAGTACACGCCCCTCTGCCCTGCCAGCACGTGCATGCACTCGCCCGAGGTCGCGTTCCACAGCTTCGCCTCCCCTGCCATGCCTGTGGTCAGCACCGGCGGAAGCGGGGACGCCACGAGCGTCAGCACGTCGCCGTCGGCCACTCCGAGGTCGCCCAAGGTGGTCTGCCCGGCCAGCTCTGCCGCTCCGAAGAAGGCACGGTTCCAGACGCAGGAGGCGTTGGCGTCGCGAGGTGAGACGTGAGCCAAGATGTCCTGCAACGCCCACGCAAGATTCGCCGAGATGGCTGCTTCGCGACCGGCGAACCCGAAAGCCACGTTGATACGCACTTGGGCCATGATATTGCAACGAGATGTGACCACGAAGAGATTCAGCTGGGCGAACCTACACACCAAAACTCGAGACGGAAGCTCGAGCCGAAATGGCTACGGACATCGTGTGTCCAGATTCTTGGAGTGCACTCTGCTGAACACGGGCGGATCCCCTCGACCACATCGAGTTTCACGATTTCCCGCCTGTGCAACTTGCCTGGCTATCGCTTCGCTGTGAGCTTCGCATTGCTCGAATCTGGATGATGCGTCCATGATGTTGGTTTGCGCGCCTCTCAAAATGCGTAGCTGGACATCTTATGGATTCAGAGCGCACCCTCTTCGGAAACAGGTGGTGCCTGTGCGGGTTGGCTGTGATCGGCGGCGAGCACAAGGAGGAAGTGAGATGGGGCAGGCCTTCTCAGAAGGTGGCGGGGCTTCACAGAATCCCTCGCGCCTTCTGAGAAGCCGTCTGCGTCTGCGGAAAATGCCTCGAGAGATCCTGAGAAAGGCCAGGGGCTTCCTGGGCCTTCTGATAAGTCCTGCCCCCTCGTCGTCCCCTCGTAGACTCGTAGACCCAATCCGCCCGTCGATCCGCGGCTACTTTGTGCAAGCTTCCCGCCCGCAAAAATTTCGAGGTCCCTGGCCGGACACCACCTGGCCCGCTCCGGAAACCCAGACCGCAGAACAATTGGCGGGCAATTCCTGGGGGGGAACTTCTTGGGTTGGAGGAGAAAAGGAGCGCCACCACCGAAATCGGCAACCGCTGTGCGAATCAAAAAGTCGCCAGGCAAACCGAGAACCTCACACGATCCGTCCTGCCATGGGTGAACTCATGAAGTGAACCTTGGCCCGAAAGAGTAAGCGAACGTGCCTCCTGGGGGGGGGGGAAGCTTCTGCTCCCGCCAATTTCCGCTGGCGGAGCCGCTCTTGTTCTACTTCCGCCAGTCGTCGCCAGGCTGTCGCTGAGGAAGAGACGTCAACTTTGGGAGCCCTCGAGGGCGAGGCTCTTTCTGGCATCATGGCGCAACGCCGAAACGTTCCTGCAGCACGTATCTGGTCGGTCGTTGCGCGCACAGGCTCCGCGCGGAGCAATCAGCAGATGGCTATCGCACATAGGCAAGAGCAGGAGGAGGAGGAGGAGGAGAACGAAGAGGCCCAGAATCAATGAAGAGAGCTCGACTGCTCAAGGCTGGCGGGGCGGATGACAGGGCGAAGGTGGCGGCAGCGGCACGCCCAAGAGAGCAGAGCAGGGCAGAGGGGCAGAAGCACCAGCAGGCCGCCACTTGCGACGTCGCCGACACGGCGTCGTCGTCGCCGTCTCCGAGCAGGGAGCCAGCCGAGAGAGGGCGAGGGGGCAGAACCACGGAGGACGAGGCGGGGGGCGCTCTGCGCCCTCCCCAAGGTCGGCTGTTCGCAGAAGTGGCTCCAAGCGAGAGTGCCCTTCGGTGCGTGGCCGCAGCATGAGGGGGCCCAAGATTGCCCCAAGACCGCCCGAAAGTGGCCACGAAGACGGCCCAAGATGCCCCCAAGACGGCCCCCAGGGGACCTGAGAAACCGCCCGAAAGAGGCCACGAAGACGGCCCATGATGCCCCCAAAACGGCTCCAAGAGGGCCTGAGAGCCCCCCCCAAAAAAAAATTGCCCCCACGACCCCAGTCTACCGCTGACAGCCCGCGAGTGCAGTAGGGGTGAGGACTCGTCGGACTCGAGCGCGCAGTCAGAGCTGCTCGGGGGGACCCCTGTGGCCCCACACCAAAACTAACTCCGGCGAGGGGTCTGCGTACGCGTAGCCAGCAAGAGTCGTTAAATGCTGAACGTCTTTTGTGATCCCCTGACTCGCCCTGGAGCTCCCACGATGTCTCTAGATGTGCATGAACATTTCACGGCTTACCACGAGTGATCTGGATCTGCCTCAATCTCCTCTGGGTTTGCCTCGATGTGCTGAACGTCGCAGGTCGATTGGAGCGAAGCCGTCAAGCCCTCCGAGAAAGGGCTGGTCAAATTTCGAGCTGCTCACGCACAGGCCCCGCAAGTAGTCCCGGCTGGCCCTAACAGGCCTCCGGAGTATCCCAGACCGCCCCTGAGGGGGAACATCAACGGGAGCCTGCTCATGGGGGGGGGGGAACATCGGCGTGGAATCGGCGATACACCGCCGACAGATAGATCGGCGACATGCCCCCGATAGCACATCTTCATGGTCCTGCGCGGGTTGGGGCTGTCGGGCCCTTCTCGGCGATGAATGGGCGGCTGGCGGTCGATGCATCCCTCCCTGAGGCCTATCCCCCCCGCTGCACCTGAGCTCCGAAGTACTCCAGAGACCAGTTAAGGCCAGCCGGTGCTACCTGTGGGGGCTGTCTGCACGCAGCCCGAAATCGTACCAGCGCGTTCCCAGCGGGCTTTTCGACGGCTTCTCTCCAATCGACCAGCGAAGTCCAGGCTAAACAATATTTACACATCAGGCCAGAACAAACCCCAATGAGATCGAGGCAGATCCAGATCAGTCGAAATAAGCCCTGAGGGGACTGTCTGCGCGCGTCTGCGATCGGAAGCCTCACGAGGAAAAGACGCGCACGAGGAGGGCCCTTCTGGCGGAGCGGCCGGCTTGGCGGGGGGGTTAGCATGGGCGAAATGGGTCTGAGGAAAACGGGTTCTGGACCCTGGGGCCTACCCACAGGACGAATCATCCTCAATCAATTCCTGACGGTCCCAGGGCCCGTGGGGGGCCCCGAGAGCTTGACAACGATGAAAAACCTCCGGACCCGTTTCCCTCCGGACCCGTTTGCCCTTATTGCGAAGGGGGGACCAGGCACCTGCGCCGGCAATATGAGTTCCTCCGGGTTGACGGCCAGGTCCAGCAACCTGATGTTCCGCGCTGCGCTGGTGATGCTTCTCGTCCTCCTCCTCCTCCGCCTCCTCCTCCACCCTCCTCCCTACTACCTCCTCCTCCCCCCCCCTCCCTCCTTCTCCCGCCTCCTCCGTCCTCCTCCTCCTCCCCTCCGCGACCTCCACTTCCTTCCTCCCTCTCATCCGCCTCGCAATCGCCTCCCTCCTCGTCGTCGTTGTCCTCGTCCTCCTCCTCCTCCTCCTCCTCCTCCTCCTCCTCCTCCTCCTCCTCCTCCTCCTCATTCTCCTCCTCCTCCTCCTTCTCCTCCTCCTCCCTCCTCCGTTTCGTCCCCCGCAGCCGTTTTGGCTCAAGCCTCGCGTCCCCACTCGGGAATCTCATGGGGTGCGAACATCTGCTTCCTGCTTCCATCGGTTCGAATAAGCCGAGTCAGGTGCCTGGGGGCCCCAGGCCCCAGCTCGCCTTGAGATGGGGGAGCTTGCCGTCGCAAGCAATGGCCCAACGACTTGCGACTTCAATTTCGCGGAGTCCGGCGTCAATCTCGACAATGTTCTGTTCAAATCCTACGGCCCACTATGCCCAGTCAGGGCAGGGTCTCCGCTACGCCGCTAGGTGGGGCAGTAGTCCAAGTACCACTACAGATCAGGGTTTTGAGTAGCACGACGCGGTCCAGGGCGCTGGTGAACAGCACGGTCTTCGGGAGTTCATCAATTTACGGATGTGGCCAGGGTAGAGTTCGCAGCGCATCGTTGGACTACACGACGTTAAGCATCGCGTCGCCCATAGGCTTGCATTCATTGCAGAACGTCGTGAATCTGAACGACACTGACCAGTACCAGTGCGGGTAATGACGCTTTCAGTACGGCAGTCGAGGCCAACATTGCGTGACCCCTAGGCGCGGTCAGCCACTCAATCGCTCACAACCATGCGGAGCAGTAGCCCGCAAGAGTGCTGGATGTATCCGCCGAACTACTGAAGTCTTCCTCGGTCTTCAAGACCGTTTTCCCGCTTTCGTCGCCCTCCTATCTTCTTCCCTTACACCACCCCTCGCTGCAAAACTGGGCTCCAGTCAGGGGCAGCACCCCTCCTCCCCCTCCTCCTCCTCCTCCTCCTCCTCCTCCTCCTCCTCCTCCTCCTCCTCCTCCTCCTTCACCTTTTCTTATTCCTTTTCCCTCTTCCCCCTCTTCCCCGTCTTTGTCCTCCTCCTCCTCCTCCTCCTCCTCCACCTCCTCCTCCTCGTTTTCCCCATCGTCCTCTCCCCCCCCCTCGGAGTCGAACCCCCGAACCTTCTTTTGAGCGCGGTCGCATCTGGCCGCCCAGGTGGAGTCGGCGCCGGAGAATCGTTTCTCCTCCTCCTCCTCCTCTTCCTCCTCCTCCTCCCGAAGCAGACCCGATGTAGGCCTGGGCGGTTTGGGTGTTTTCTTTCAGAAGAAGCCAGGCGCCGACAGAGACTGCTCGTGAGCAATCGCAGCCTGCGCCTTCTGCACATGGGCGGGCTGCGTTTTTCCTGGAGAAGCAAGACGCCGGCAATGCTGCACGCGAGCGGTCGCAGCCTGCGCCTTCTGCACACGGGCGGGCTGCGAGCTCTGATTTGGCGACTTAATGCATGCAGTCCCTTTCCCTGCGAACAGGCTGGCCAAACTCCTGGAGCAGGTCGTTGCCTGACCTCCGCACGCGCCACGCCCAAGCCCACAAGTACGAGCGACAACGCTCCCAGTCTGCAGCGTGGGCGCTGTCCGGGATGCTGTCGCGCATCTCAGGCCAGAGGCCATCGCAAAGCTGCGTGTCTTTTCCCAAAAAAATGATTTCGGTGCGCCCGTTCGGGCGCGCGACGCGCGCGCGGTCGACGACGGCCCGCTGCGCTGCGTCGTGAGAAACTATGCCGCGAGATAACTTCCGATGCCTGCAATGCAGCTTGAAGCGGTCAGCATTGAGACGGGGGGATATTTGCTCTCGTCGCCGTAGGCAGCGCGGCTTGTCGGCGCTACGGGCTGGCGCGCGCCCGCGCCACCCATGAAAAACGCGACATTGCCGGGCGCGAGAACCCACGAGAGGATCTCGTCACGTTCGGACCAACTGAATGAGACGCCGCTTCCCCCAGCGGCGCAGGCCCGTTGGGGTAGCCTGAAAAAACATACATCGCCAGTTGGCGCTGTCCCCAAGGGCGCGCGCACATGCATCGGCGATGCAATGTGCGGCAACGCCCAAAAGGGAGCTCGCCGCGCGTCGCATCGAAACAATCTCGCGGGCAAGCGACGCGGCAAGCGCGCATTGA